TTTTTTTTTAGTATTACCACTTGCTCAAACAATAAAACCATTAACAAAACTTTGTGAAGAAACGAATCAATTGATAAAACAAGTAATAGCTCAAAATGAGCAACAGATGCGTTTACTTTCTGAATTGGTCAATGCTCCACGTGAATTAGATAAATTAACTCATGAATTGTCATATATTTTGCACTTGGTTCGTAAACTTACTAAATATTAAGTGCTCTTTACTTCTTTCTCTCTTTAGCAAGCGAAAATGTTACAAACACGACAATATGAAAATGATGAAAATTTAGTTACTGTAAGTAGGTAACATGTTTTTAAAACACATAAATTAGATAGAAAATGGAACTTTGTTTTGAATTAGTATTTAAATTAAAGGTTATACGTCTTTTTATTACATCTTGCCTCTGTATGAATGATTTTCACTTTCTTTTTTTTTTTACAATTAGACATTAAATGGTGTCGATCTAAGTAAAGTTCCACGTAGTGCAACTATAAATGCAACTGCAAGGGCACTAATGCGAGCTGCTTATGGTGAATTAGCATGTTTTAATGATTTAAAAGATGGCGAATTCGATGTATTATTAGGTAAATTAAATTAAGAAATTTTGTTTAGTATTTAATGTTCACAACCTTGACTACTAGGTTTAATTGCTCATATACATGGTCAACATATTTCATCTGTGTTCGTTGACTCAAATTCCATCAAAAATTCATTACAGCAAATGAAACATGATACAAATAAAAAAAGTCCATTAAGAAAGTTAAAGAAATCAATATTGAAAGCACGAAAATCAACAACAGCACAGGAAAGATTAGCTCGAAATGATGAAGATGAAGAACAACAACCACACCTGTAAGTGACAGTTAGATTGTGAATAGAGTTATTTCTTTATTTAAAACATTTGTTATTTCTCTAAGGAAATTGTTATTACCATTAAGTGAACTTGTTTTTTTTCTTATGTTTTGACTTTCATAAATAGGAGTGAGAAAGTTATTGTTGTTGTTATTGTTATTAATAACAATAACATTAACGTTTTTTTTTCTCAAAAAAATCAATGAAATAAGTCTAAGTATAGTTTGTACGAACGTCAAAGGATCACTTTATTCATACAGTATATTTTCTTACCATTTGATATAAGAACTTGTCGTAAATATTTTGAGAAACGATAACCTAACATATTTGGTTATTTTTATTGCTATATAACAATAAAAATAATCAGATATATTATGCTACCGTTTCTCGAAATATTTACGACAAGTTTTTATATCAAATGGTATGAAAAGATGCTGTATGAATAAAGTGATTCTTTGGCTTTCATACAAACTATACTTAGACTTATTTCATTGATTTTTTTCAGAAAAAAAACGTTAATGTTATTGTTATTAATAACAATAACTTTCTCACCCCTATTCATAAATGCGTGTACTTTTTTGTTTGTCTAAGCTTTTGTGAAATTTAATGTGGTTGTGTAAAATTTATGATTTTTACTTTTATTTTGTATTTATTGCGAAAACTATTGATCAAGAATAAAATTGATGATGAAAATCTAATTATAGTACACGGACACTGATTAAAAGATAATAGTGCAAGAATCTTTATGATCATTCAAGAAATCGATTACAGATTATGATAAAAAGAATCAGACTTGAATTCCAAGAAGTTCAAGATTCTTTCCAGATTGTAAATTTCTTGTCTCTCCAGCCAAGGTTCTGTCTACACGATTCTTGTCTGGTTGACAAGATCTTATAAGTCAGACAAGAATCTTACATTATATGGATAGAAGAAGAATCTTGACAGATTTTCCTGCAATTAAAGAATCTGGAAAGAATAGAGACAAGAATATCGATTCGTGACATATATGTATACATATTTTTTTTCTTTCGTTCTGCAACGCGAATATATATATATATATGTATATATATTTTTTTTCTTTCGTTCTGTAATGCGAACTAACGAACGAACATTTGGTCGCGAGAGCTGCTCAGCGCATTACCCTCCTTACAGTAGAGGGAATTACTTTCTTTAGTCAATATTAGGTATGAAAGATTATACAATGTTATAAAATATGTGGAAAAAAGTGATTGGTCGAACATACATGATTTTACCCATATTTTTTTCTATTCTTTCGGTGCACAATAAGATAATTTTGCACAGCCTGCCGTGTTTCGTGATTATTTAGAAAGCATGATATAGGTACTACCTTGAAAACCTTTTCGCTCTTTATGAATTGAGGCATGACAAAATAAAAAGATTTTTTCGTCACATTGAATTAGCTTGGAAGTGGATAGACTATATAAGCACAATCATAATACCTTTAGTTTTTATCAATCCATATACGTATCTTTGTGTTTATATCACAACACATAATCACACATCAGTAGGTAAGTTTTGAGGATAGTTGATTCTTTCCACAGAAAAATCTTGTTTACTGCACTAATAAAACATGTCAGAACTCGAGGCACAATCTTAACTTTATCGGAAAAATACAATTTCTTCTGAACTTTTATTCAGCTACTATCTTCACTATAATGTCGCATAGAGACACAAACGAGCACCGCTTTAGTTTACTTAAGACTTATATGAGGAAAAAGCTGTGTTTCCTTCATATTGCTATGCTGTGCAACTATCTTAGTCCTTTCCACAAGTCATTTCATCTGCTACGTCAGAAATAGTACTTTTAACCCCAGCAGTGGACAATAATCTGATCGGTGAGAAAAATGCATTTTTTTAGGGGAAAACAAACGTTCAGGTCAAAAATGCTATTAGATGCAGCAGAGAAATATCACACTAACACGGAGATAAGAATTCTATTTATCAAAATTGTAAAGAAATATATATATGCATACAATAACTCTAGAAAAATGAAAGAGCCAGCGTCAAAATCGTTCTTTGTAATAAAAATAATGCTCTTACAAAAGAGAAAAATGTCTTTCATCTATCTGTATGTGTATAAACGTATACGTACAATCCCTTTAGAAAAATGAAAAACCAGCGTAAAAATCGTTTAATACAGTACACACCTAAATGACTGCCGGTGCAACCATTTTTCTCGCTGTGCATTTCGTCATTCCATTTTTCGTTCTCATACTTCCTATCGAAAAAGAGATTATTCCTATGGATTTTTCATTTTTCTGCTGATAAAGTATGCATAAAAGCAAACGCTACTGTCACCACTTTTCTTGTATCAAAATTTATTATTCCATTCTTCGTTCTCATGCTTCCTAAAAAAAACACATTATTCCTATGGGTTTTTCATTTTTCTGCTGATATAGTATGCAGATAAGAGAGCGGTAATGAAAGCATTTTCTCGATAGATGAAATGTGGTTAATGTGATTTAGTGAAATTCAACTTGATGCTGTTAAATTCTGGTGAAGGATAAGTTATTCTTTTTAAGCGAGCATTTTTCGCCTGAACGTCAAATTTCCGCTTGAAAAATGCATTTTCGTCACCGATCGCAAAGTTGTCCAATCCTCAATTTACCATATTTATGGCAGTTCCAATGTTGTCCGAAGATCGGACTATTACAGGCTGTAAGAGGCATGTTTCTTCGCCTTTTTGTTTCAATTTTTTTGGTCACTGAGTTTATATTTTAAAATGATTATTCATTGAAACATGTATTTTATAATATAGACTTCGGAGTTCAAAAACCCAACATATTAGGTCTGTCTATCATTGTAAGTACGACAAGTATAACGGTAGAGTGGTTTACTGCTCTTCTCATATACTTTAAGATTCATTTCCGATTATCTGTGACAAAAAAAAGATGTTTACTAAGTAACAAACACGGCTATGTAGACAATTGAATGAAGAATTTTCCCTGATACAAGACATCTTTTCCACGATAAGACATGCTCAAGATACGAGCGAAGTATTAATATTGTAATTCATCCTGTAATATTACTTGATTAATATTTCTGTTTCATGATTGGGATAGATTTGAACATCAAGATACCCGTTATTAGAGGATTTCAAAAAAATTTCTTCAAGTTGTTTTTTACCTGAGTGAAAAGAACATATCGACTTGTATAGAAAAAAAAAACATTCGAATATTAAAGAATATGAATAGGTTTTTCATTTTTCTGTAGAAATTTTTGAAGATTTTTTCCTGATTTTCCATGCAAAATCGATTAAGAAAAATAAACTTTTTACGTTGTTCAACAACTATGTGAGTGTGTAAGATTTTGAGCCCTAATAACTTTTATCAAATGCTATACCCATAGATCATAAAAGAATCAAACTCTTTCTGTGTAAGGTGTAAGCTACTTTTCAGAACATAGTAATCGTTCTAGTGCCTTCAAAAATTTAAGCATGTTTTTTTGTAAAAGTTTTTCTGTTGCTTAAAAAAATTTGTTTTCTCTGCAGTCGAATAATACTTAACTTTTTTTCGAGTATGAAGGCAGCATTTCAGATGGGTTAGTCGGGTTCACAATATCAAAGGTTCATAAAGTCTTTCAATAGCGTTAAAATTTTATCTTTCTTAAATCAACATCGCATAGAAAATCAGAAAATAAGCTTTGAAAACTTTTACAGAAAAAATGGAAAAGCAACTTATTTCCTTTAATTTTAAATGCGAAACATTAAATGATACTACGAAACTGTCTATTGAATATTGCGTTGTATACATGTTTGCAATAATAAAAGCAATAAAGCTCACACTCTCTCCTTTAATATCAGCATCTTTCACTGAATTAACATTTGAGGTGTGAAAATCGATTATGTGGATTCAAACTTATATTGTTTTATATCCTTTAGTTCAGAACAAAAATGCGAACTGTTTACATAATCGTTGCTGCGCTTCTGTTGAAAATATCTCAACTAGATGGAACATTTGCAAGGGCAATCGCCGATAATCCTCAAGCCACGATGACAGAGTTAAATGGTTAGATTTAAATTTCTGTTCTATATCTATAAAGAAAGACATTTAATTATATTTTACATTAGTAGAAAAGGGTCTGACATTTGTCAAACGGGAACATCAGGTTCCATTTGGTATTGATTTTGTCGGTTGCCGAGATTGGACTGATCCAAATGGGATGAATTGCAACACTGATGAAGGCGACACTCTTTGCACCGAACAACGACCTGTACTTTGTGTCAAGGTAGACAATTCACCTCGACCGGCTTATTTCGTATATGGAAGTGGTGCTGCTATGCCTCCTGAATTCTACGCTGGTTGGAATCATGGGCATATAGCAACGACATTGCCCGTAGCAGGCTCTAGTTTTAGTACCAAAGCAGATGTTGATGCATATTGTGCTCAGGCTTTCGGGTAAACATTTTTCATTGAGTCAAACATTCAGTTTACTTATTTGTTTGTTCATATAGTGCTGGTTGGCGGTTGGCCACATTTCATGATGCAATGTACATTAGCGGCATGAATGGAACAATATATGCTGGAGATAGTTGGACAGCAAATACTGCTTTGATGCAAACCGGTGGTTGGCACTACTATTCGTATGGTGATGTTCGCAATGACATGCGCTTTTGGGTACATATTCGAGATCGACCAGCGAATTGTTGGAGCAATTAAATTGGCAAATTTTCCTTTTGAATACTTCATAAATTACTTATTTATTATTCTACTTACACATGCATGTTTGTCAACCTTTTCTTTACTTCTCAATAAAGTATTTAATCCAATAAATCAGGCATAATTAAAACTAGCTCTTATTGTTTCCTCACGGACAATATTACACTTCCGAAGATATATAATCAGAGAATAAGAGCTCTCCGTGCTTGATAATCAAGTGTGCAACACTAAGGCACGTCTTTCACTGAAATGATGCGATTGTAATCCAGACTAAAATTCAGAACCTGTTGCAAAAAAAAAATATTAGCTAATGCGCCATAGTGAGTGAATGTGGTCAAAGAACATTTTGCAAAAAAATCTTTGTCTAGCAAGTTTTACTATTCAAAATTTTCTTGGCAAAGTTGAAAATTCTTATACAATGCGAAGCCTGAGAAGGACTATCTTGAAACATTTGAAAGTCTCTCAGTGAGTCTCGTGAAACTTCAGTATAAGGGAAGACACATGGTCAATTTTATTATACATTAAGAATCTCTAGATATAAGTAGCAGTAAACTGGGAACCAAATCAACAAATAGATATCAGATCAGTAAAATTTTATTAATATATTTTGTTTGATTTGTTTCACTTTCATGACTATTTACTATTAAGGGATATTAGGCTGAATCTCTAATGACACGCTTCTGATTAAGTCGCCAAATAAATCCTAGCTCGAAAATATTGAGCAAATATATTCTCATTGTATGATGATAAATTTAGATGATGCTGGTTCAATTTATTATGATGATAAAAGGTTTGTCAGGTATTAAAAGTTACTTAGGTCAATTGAACATTGATGGCGAAAGTATTTGAATTTCTTATAAAAACATCAAATAACCTTTCTCTATATATAATTTAATACCACCGACAAGGTTTACTAGTTTCATCCGATGCTAGTTAGAATTGCTTTTTTCATGAACTTCATTATGCAGACAAAACTGCATTGCTACTGGTATAAAAAAAGTCGTTTCTTTTAGATAGCTGAAGGAATAATACCAACTTCACTTTTAATTCTACATTGAGTTACCCGAATAAATTCGATATCATTTCATTGAGAATAATCGATGCGATTCATCAGTCTCACTCACCACCAGCTAAACCTGGACATTTTACATAGATCAATGTCATGTAACATTGGCTTTAAACAGTTTTGAATGAACTCGATTATCACATTCTGTTCATAGGTCGTCATAATCATTCATCGAACAGCTGGTATCTTCATCTTCATAGAAAATTGATTTTCTATTTTCATCTTAACAATCGTTGTCAGCATTTTATATCTCAAAATATCGAGCGAATAGACAGAGAAATTAGAATGCTTCCTAGAAATAAACGGTTCATTTAAGGAGAGGATAACTTCGCATGGAGAATGTACCTCAGTCTTCAGCTTTCCTGGCACACACACCAAAAAAAGCACGAATCAATAATATCGCTGAAAAGAACTACACTCATATGTAGAAGAAAGAAATGTAAAGAACTTCGAATTCAGTTAAAATAATATTTAATTGTGAGATTTCTTTTCACAGAAGAGTATTACAAAGGTGAATATAAGAAAAAACTAAGTAAGTAGATGATCTACATTATTGTATACGAATGAAACAAGTTTCTTGTGTGTGGAACTCAAACAAAAATAGATTGGAGGAAAAGTTGAAATCATGAGATGGATTGAATTGCTCATGGTATCTTATTCTCAATAACTTCATTGACAATTGGGAAACACAAAGCATGGTACTTGATCATTATTTATACTACATATCTTTTTATGATTAATTGATCGATGCATCACATTAAAGCACAAAGATGAATGGTGTAATTCGTTAGGAACAAAAGACCGAAAATATTAATAAAAACTAATAGTGAATTGAAAGAATATTTTTACTAATAATCAACTTGTATTCTAGATTTAATCATGTTTTGCAATTTAGTTTGAGTTTGGACAAAACACTTTTGTCATTTTATATCACCTCTTACGATTAAATAAACAAGGATCGAAATCCCATAGAATTCGTTACTAGCAACTATGATAGTCGACGGACATCTTTTATTCATAAAATATGCATTTTGCGAATATACACATTCATAATGAGTAATACATTTTAACTAATAATTTTGTTTTTCATTCTGTGTCTACGCGTGTTGTGAAAAACTTTTACTTATTTAACGGGACCCCCCCCCTTTCCAGTACTTTTCAAGAACGGCTCATCAGAAAATTTTGAAACTTTCAGGGCTGATAGATCTCGATGAGTACAGCAAAAGTTGTAATAGACTCAAAATTCCTAAATGCTTTCCTCTAGGAGATATTGGGGTCCCAAGGGCTAAAAATGACCGCTATAATCGCCCCGCTTTCTCAGCCGCAGTACGTTCTATAGAGCTGAAATTTTTTTACAGATACTAGAGACACTTTTGGGTGCCTACTTTTTTTTGGTTTCTTTCTATCTCGTTCCGTTCGTATAAAAAAGCCAAAATACTGAGAGCACCCTAAAAAAAGCATGTTTTTTTGACTAGTGCTTCTCTTGTAAGACCTACCAAAACTCAGCAATACAATATTTTTCAAAACAAAATAACGTAGGCACCCTAAAGTGTCTCTAGTATCTGTAAAAAAAATTTCAGCTCGATCGGATGTACTGTGCCGGAGAAACGGGGGCGATTCTGCAGTTTTTTGCTGAAAAACCTGGTTTCTAGAAAACCGCGAAAGAAAAAAAATCGTGCTATACCCCTACGGCAATCGAATAATCTTTTCGATTTTATTTTTGCTTTACAGCTATATTTGAGTTCTCAAAATGTCACCAGTAGATAGAGGGCACTTGAAAGCATATGTCGAGCAGAAAAAACAAAAAACGAAAATTTTGAAAATTTTGGGTCGGGAAAGGGGGGAGGGCGGTCCCCTTTAATGGTTGTCAAAAAGTCGAAATATCAAAGTGACGTGAGATTAACATTCTCATTTTAAATAAAATTGTAATTTCATATTCTTATTTATTTAATAACTGAAGGTTTTCAGTAATAATACGAATAAAAATAATATTGCGCAAAAAAACACAAATAGGCGCTTTCTGAGAATATTAACATATCTATTAGATAGATTTTTGAATGATCTTGATTAAACTTTTGTCGAAACACGTATCGAAGGACGAATATTCGGGTGCTTGTTTGTATGTGAAACAAGTTGAATATGATAATGCTCACAAAACAGTTGTTTTATAGGTTGAAACAATCGAAAAAATTGAACTAATATTTGTTTGAGTGTGCCCGCTGGAACTATAGATTTAAAAAAAAAACATATTTATCCTACCATTTCTTCATGTACGCATTTAGCTATACAGTAGGTTATATTTTTGACTGTACTTGTAGAACTTTCGAATTGTAACCTGTATTAATGATATAAAATTGATAACAGCAATATTTATGGAGTTCAATATGCTCTAATTATCTGACGATGAGGGTGATGATGAATGTGTATGAGTAACTAATTTTTGAGATTGATTTTAATGTGAATATGATCAATTTAAAGGAGTTTTATTTTTCAATCTGATTTAATGGTTATCATAAATTAATTTTATTTAAAAGTTAACATAAGCCATAAGTGAACAATAAATCGATCGTTTATTTTTTTCAATTTCAATTTATCTAATTCAAAATAAAACTCTCAATTCGAAGATGAAATCTTTTTATATATTACTTGAATTCAAAAGCGAAAAAAGAACTTCTCTTTATCGAAATATTCCAATGAGTAAAAAAGCTTGTTTATTATCTTCAGATTTAAAAAAAATGAAATATTCAATTATTTTCGAATATTTATAGAATTTCCTTATATATTTTGTTATAAATAATGTTTATCGATACATATACGTGTGTATCTGATTCTCTTGTTACGAAAAAAAACCAGAGAATATCGATTATAAGCTATATTTTATTTCATATGAATTATAAAGAATTTCAATTATTCGTTCATACAATTTATTTAAACAGAAAAACTAGATCGAAAATAAATCTTTTAATAAGAATTAATCAATTTCAATTGTTTATTTTCTTCTGTTATAAATAATGACAAATACTTATTTAGATATTGATCAAATTTCAATTCAGAATAATTCTACTAAAGATTAGTTTTATTTTATAGAAAAAAACACTTATAATTATTATTATCATTAGTATAAATCAGTTAAAAATTATTTTATATAATAAATAAAATGTTCGATTGTAAGATTGGTTTATTTATAAATAATTTAATTTTTCAAATAGAGTTTTATTGTTGTTTTATTAAAAAGAAAAATAAAATATTATTTGTAATAAAATGTTTGATTATGATTGTTTTTGTCAATATTGATTGTAATTATAATGATGAAGATTAACAGCATCTAATATTTGTTTTGGATTAATATGAATATTTTCATTAAATTGTTTACTAGTGAATAAATAATTTATTGAGGGTGTGGGTGTGGGTGTGGGTTTTGTTGAAGAGAAGATCCACAACCACACCCCACACCCACATTCACACCCCACATCCACACACCCAGCCATCCACACCCATCCACACCCACACACACCCACACACCCACACCCCATTATATTTATTTGTATGACATTCTTTATATGATAAACAACCCACCAAAAAAGATCTGTCTTTGAAGGGATTTTTTCAGCTTGCATAGTCTTAAACGTGTTGGAACACTTTTTATTTTTACTAAAAACAGAAGTAAACTGTTCAAGGGCAGATCGTTGAAGGTGTGATGATGGATTGTACTCCATTGAGGGTGTGGGTGTGAATGTTGATGAATAGAAACATACACCCACACCCACAAAGATAAGAAATATACTTTTGTTTTCGATTGAGTTCGATTCCAAACAACGAGTTTATAACCATTTTTTAATATGTTTTCAGCGATTCCGGTACCCATGCCGCCCAAGCCCAAAACTGCTACTATCAAAATTCTGTTTTGAAGCCATTTCTTTCTCAACTGAAAACA